CTTAGAAGGGGGGCTGTCACACCTTTTTGAGGCGAACGGTGTACATCATCCGCACAAACTCGGCGTCGTCTTCGGTCTGCGCGTGAAACGGCAGGCCCTGGATAAAGTCCCATTCTGAGCGACGCCAGGTCTTTAGCTGTGGCTTCGACAGTCACCCCCGCTCGTGCAGAGGACTCGCCTTCGTCGTTGGACATCATCTCGCCGCCGACGAGCATCTCGAACGCTTCGAAGCATTTGACGTCGCGGGCAAGGGCCTCCATGAACGCCTCTTTGGCCAGGTCGTTTGCCTTCATGTGCAGGTGAATCAAGCCGCGCAAGTGTGCCGCCGACGCAGTGAGCTGTGTCCGAGTAAAGGCTCGAGTCAGGTGGGTCTACCCGACACGGACCTCATGATCGGGCGCACCTTGATACCCCCATCTCCCCTTCCGTCGGAGCTGTAGTCCAGAGCTCCTCCGAATCCGCCTTCGGGTCCGACCAAGGCGAGCGCTTCCTCCCACTTGCCGAGGCGGACCATGCACTGCGCAGCCAGGTAGCGGCAGGCGAGCGAGGTGTCGGTCAAGCGAACGGGTGCAGCCGTCGAGGTTGAAGCGGCTCGGGAAGGTTCCGTCAGGATGCGCTCAGCTTGCGCAAACTGGTGCGTCAGGAAAAAGGTCTGGGCGAGCCAGAACGCGTCGTCCGGGTTGCCTGTGGGGATCGGTCAGAGGCATGTCAAGAACCTCCCGCCGCAAAAAAGACGATGCCCACCTGTCATCCAAAACGCCTTGGCGCCCCAAAACTTGGCAGAGTCGTAGAGGTGCTGCGTCATGGCGTCGTTCCGCCAACAGCGCATGCGGTCTACAGTCGTCCACGCGCCAGCCGCACCAGCGTCGTCGCCTTCCTCCTGGACCGGTTCGTCGCCGTCGAGAGACTCGTCATCGTTGACTTGAACTCCAAACGAGAAGGATGGTCGAGGCTGTCTCGTCGTCGTCGTCGTCGAGGTCGAGGTGGGCCTCCGCGGCGAGAGCGAGAGGGTGCTCAGGTTCGACTGCCGCCGGAGCGAGTCGAGCTGGTCCAGGCTCAGACTCGAGCTGGTCGTGTTGCTCGCGTCGTGGTACGGTGCTCGCTTCCCCGGCTGCAAGCGTGCGCCGAGCGGGGGACCTTGTGCTCCTCGTAGGCGGTCACTGAACGGCGAAGGAGTTGCGCGACCCTGCGGGGTCTCCATCACTCGCGGTGGCATCGTCGGCACCTCTCTGGATGGCTGGAGGTGTGCTGTCTCCCCTCTCTGGCCTGCTCAGGGCTCGTAGATACTCGAGCGGGCCGACCCAGGGTTGACGCAGCTTCCACGCGGAAGCGTCATCTCATCTCCGCGGAGTTTGCGTGCGAAACGAGGCGCCGAGTTTTCGCTTGGCTTTGCTCAGTCCGCACTTTGGTCGTCTCAGCCCGTTTCCTGAGCTTCCTATAGCTGTGATGGCATCTACACTTAGACTCAGGTGACTGACCACCCCAGACAGCTCTCGAGCGCGTTGGTCGGCGAGATGGCCGCTCTGGATGACTTCCGCGGTTCGCAAGCCCGAAACTGCGCAAAGACGTGCGGCTTTTCGCCTATTGCGCGCGTCGCTTTGCGCGGCGACTCGTCTTTCCCCAGCTTCGGATGGCCGCCGTCTGCGTTCGGTTTGGCAACAGCGAGAAGGTACAACTGCCGCGGACCACGCTGATAAGGGTGCACCAGCTGCTCAGATCTTTCCCAGCACGCGGTAGGCCGACTCGCTCCCCCTCCTCCTCCGGCGCCGAAAGCCTGGACGTTCGGACCTGGAGACCCACCATGCTGCGTACTGCTTAAGAGGGCTATGGACGAAGCTGCTTCTTTCTTGCTTCGACCTCCTTTTCTCGCGGCACCGTCAGACAAGCTTGCAATCATGGCTGCCTCCGCCGTGATCGCTCTCGCTGCCTTCAGCACGCTCGGTTCAGCTACACCTTCGTTCCCTCTCTCCTATGGCCGATTCCCTTGCTCGGTCTGGTGTCCGGACGGCCAGATTCATAGAGGTGAGTCGACGGGTTGTCCAATTCCAACTTTCAACGCATCGGGCATCATCCCGTTGCCGACAATCACGACCCCTCACTCCGCGCCCTCGGCACGCTGACCCTACTTTGTTGCATCTGTTGCATCTATAGACGACTCGCTCTGTGCCGACGACAAGCTCGTCGCGACCGGTGCGACGCTGTCGACCGCGAACGGGTACCACGGTTTCAAGCGCAACGGCCCTGTGCCGACTGGATCCACCTGCGCGCAGGACGAAACGTCCGGTAGTTGGTGGTGCGGTATCTCGGGTGCGACCTGCAGCAGCGACGCGGCCTGCGACAATGGGCTTTGCATTGCCGGACGATGGTAGGCTGCCGAACCACATGCTTGCTCCGCATCGGATCCCTTCGCTGACATTCGCGACAAACAGTACGGGAGGCTACAGCTACGCAGCCAGCAATAACAATTTTCTATGCTCGGGCTATCTCTGGAGCACGTCTTTCGACGGCTCGCCCGTCGGAGACGGTACTTGCGGTGGTCTCGGCGCATACTGCCAAGAGTGGGATCAACCGGACCTGTCGCGCGTCGCGGAGGAGAAGCGTTGGGATCGTTTCGACAGAACTGCGCTTCCGGTTCGTGGCGCATCTCCTTGCTGTCCCTTGACTTTGTGCTGACCTGCGATGCTTGCAACTTTCAGGCTCCTGCAACTCATTGACGGCATCCTGCGCAGTCAAGTGCAACACGGCCGGCTGTGACTGCACGAACGACCCGAAGCACCGCTGCGGCAAAGGTCTCAAGCCTGTCATTGACAAACACGGCAGGTGCACCTGCCAACCGATCCACCCCTCGAAGCGTGCGCGGGCTCGCCGCAAACTCGACCTCGTCGACGAGCGCTGCCCAAGGAGCCTCACTGCTTGCACTATCGGGGGCGGAAAGGGTTACGAGTGCATCGACACTCGGGTGAGTCGCGGCTGTCTTGGCTTTGTTCGTGCCTTCCGATGCTGACCTGCGCTCCACCTCGCCGTCATAGACGGACCTCGAGCAGTGCGGTGCCTGTGCGGATATGGGCGGCGTCGACTGCACCCAGATTCCGGGCGTCGCTTCGGTCGCGTGCTTCGAGGGATCCTGCGAGATCTGGGCCTGCGAGGTCGGACTCGAATACGATTACATACGGCGCGCTTGCCTGACTGCACCCTGAGGCAGATGCGGCTAGGTTCACTTCTGATTATTATCTGCTTAGACCCTCTATCTTCTGCGCTCCCGCTTCCGTGGAGGAGGCTCCGTCTGCAGTGTATTAATCTTTCCATCCTCCGCTCGCGGCTGGAAAGGAGGAGAGGGGGGAAATATGTTGGCACATCACTGTCCCTTGTGACCCATCGATATCATGTACTCGCTTTCGCGGCCTTCTGAGGCGAGTTGGCGGACCGCGACGCTACAGAGTCGACCCACCTATTTACTCTTTTCGCGGCTGTCCGGGCTCTTTCCCTGCACAGCGTGGCTGAGGGCGCACAGCTTTCCTGCTCTTCTTAAGATATCTGGAGACCAGAGCATAGGCAATCTTGACCCGTTGATGGCCCTTGCTCCCACGCTTGCGCAGGAAACAGGGAGGCGAGAAGCGGACATCCTTCCCAAGCTTCCATTTTCAATCGCTCTCTCTGCCTTTAGGAACAGCTAGTAGACTTGGGACATGAGCAAGCTTTCAGAAAGAAGCTGTGGTCCCATATCACGCAAAGGCGCACATGGGCCTACGAGCGAGCTGAGAAAAGCGAGGTAACGTGTAAGGCCCCGGGCCTCACGACGGAGACAAGATGGAGCAGCGGATGGGAGGCGGTGCGGCGGTGGCGAGCCGAGCCGACCTCGTGTCGCTTTCACGCGATACTCTGTTCTTGACCTCACGCTACGGCTGACGGTCGAGAACAGCTGCAACGCACTGTCCTACTTCGTTGGTTGTGGCAGGTATTGGACGCCCACGCGTCCTTCCAGAACGATGAGTTTCGGTGGCATGTCTGTCCATTTGCTGATGGACTTGCTAGGCATTTGCCCGACTGGCTATGGCTTTTTGTACGCTGCACTACTGATAGCGCGCAATAAGAAGCGGAACGCAGGCCTTATGCAACCTGCGTCCGATAAACAGGCGATTCCGCTCTCGCTTTCAAAGGAGAGGGAAGTTTTGTATCCCTCAGAACCCAGATTCGCAGATGGAGTGCACAGACACAGCAGATAAAAGCTACTTGCTCTTACTTCATCCTGATATAGCCTGCAGGGTCGTATACGCGTGTTTCCCCGGTACGTAAACTGGGACCTTCTCAGGCGCAAGGGCGACTGCAAAGAGGTGGCAACACCCGCACAGCTCGGTGCAGGTACAAGCAACTGTGAGGAGGCTTCTCTATATATAGAGTGATCTGAAAGTCAGGAACTGAGTCGTATACTGTTCGGCGCGCTCCCCTTTTTCACAAACCTCACGCGGCAAGCCTGATCCTCTTTTCCTTTGACCACAGCGGGTGCGCGCCTCTTCAGGCAGTGTGCATGTATTGACAGCTATGTGGGCTCCTTCTGTGTTGTCGCGAGGCTCGGGGCGGAGATTTCGGTCACGAAAAGTCGCAAATCATCTCGCTCTCGGATTTGATGGATTCAGCTCTTCTCCCTCTTCCCAAAGACTTTGACAAACCACCGTGGTCAACTTCAAAGGAGGTACGGTGAGGTCATGTATGCTCATCCACAGGGAGAGGCTGCACGTAGTCAAGACTGGTTCTCGACCAGAGGAGCCCACCTTCTCTTCTCGGTGGCGACGGATGCGAGACGGCGGGGCGAGCCGGACAGGTCCATAGTTACCCATAGTTTGCTAAAAATATGACCTTCTCTTGAACCAGGACTTTCGCTTCCGCTGTCACGCTGCCGTCTTTCGGACTTACCTCAGAACAGTCATAACCAACAAGCTATATGTATACGCCAGACTGACAATTAGCGGTTTAAAAGATGCCCTAGTAGTCTAGTGGATGAAGCCGGGATCGTCTAGAGGTTTATGATATCGCTCTTGTAAAGCGAAGGTCGGGTGTTCGACTCACTCTTCCGGCAAGTTTTTTGTTTTTTTGCACGAAAACCGTTACTTTTTGGGGGGCAAAGCAGTCAGACTTTCTTTGATCATGTAGATTGCAGTGAGCTCGGGCCGTTCAGCTTTGAAACCAAGGGCCGTAGTGCCGCGGAAGGCTGCTGGGAAAACCAATTTGTCTGCCGGCAGCCGAAAGAGTTGGACCTTGGTGATTGGTGTGCAATGGTGGCGCACGCGGCGTTCACTTCTGGTCAAAGGATTGGTGCACGCTGGATGAAGCAGGGCCTGGCAAGGCATGTGTCAACTCGTGACAGTTCATCCTTCATGGATCCGAAATGTCCGACCGAACGTGCAGGGACACCTGTAAGGCGGACGCCTTCCGACGGCTTGACATCGCGGTTGGTATGGCAGCGGAGGGGAGGCGTGGCAGACGCGCGCGGCGTTGACTTCACGCGCATCTTTGAATCCTGGTCTCTCGCCTAACGCTACGGCTGACGGCAGAACCAGGTATGTAGATCTTCTTATAGCTTTCGCCTAACGCTACGGCTGACGGCAGAACCAGGTATGTAGATCTTCTTATAGCTTTGGCCTAACGCTACGGCTGACGGCAGAACCAGCTGCAAACTCTGTGCCAACTTCCACGGTCCGATTCTTCGAGTGTTGGATCCGCGAGGATCCTTCCAACACCGCTCTCAGCTCGATGCGAGGGCGGGTCTTCTGCGTGCTTCGGTCGGGTCGTAGGCCGTTGTAGATGGACTAGAGCCAATAAACAGTGATTCGAGTTTGGATTTCGAGAGATATGAGCGGGAGGGGGATGCTAAGGGAGAAGAGAGCTACAACACAAAACGACCGAGACGATCAGCCAACACCGCCTCCTTGATCCGACCACGAAGTCTCGAGGCGTCGGCTGGCACTTTGGGTCCGGTACGATAGAGTAGATCATCTGTAAGAAAAGAAGTGTTAGTGACGTTCGAAAAGAAAGGATCGAGAAGGAGACTTAGAATGGGAAGTCGACGACGAGTGAAGCGAAGGACGGGTGACCGACCCAGCAAGGTCCCCGCGGATTCCGCAAAGGCTTTTGCGATCACGAGCTGGCAGACCTGCACGCAGCTCATTGACTGCACTTCAGTGCAGGGCTCCGTCGCCCGTATCACTAGGTACCCAAAAGTGCGCGGTGACGGGACCATTACCTATCTTTTGGACCGGACAGACAAGGCAGCTCGCCCAGTCTTTGATCATGATGCGTAGTCTACTCCATGACACCCCTTGTGTTGACTGTTCTTCGCTTCATGGCGCGTTGTCTGGCATGGGCTTCTTGCGCCCAAGGGTTACCTAAGGCATGGGCTTCTTGCGGCCAACCTGAACACGGCCTCCGCAAAGTCTCCGGTGGCAAAAGCCGGCGAACCAGACTAAAAAAAAAAAAAAAAAACGCAAGTCGTGGGAGCTTGAACCACTACGCTTCCCACCATTTTCTGCGCTTCCCACCGGTCTTGACGGGTAGCATCGGCACGGTTACATTCCCAACACTTGTTCCCACCGAGTGCGGTGGGTTGTCGGGGCTTCCCACCGCGGATTTTCCACTGTGATGCGCCGGCGAAAAGACTCAGTCAGTAAGCTCTCGACGGTGTCGATTTTGCCGCGCCTCGACGCCCGAACCTCGCTCTAGAGGTCGACCTCTCCACTGTCTCTCCCACGGAATGCCTCTCTCCCGGGCTCCCCCTAGCGTCCGCGTCGTTCCCCGCCTTCTGCGCTGCCCTCCTCGCGTTTCCTCGAGAAGGGCGGCGAGGAACGGCTGAACGGGCGACTCACGGTTCCTCGACGTGGGGGTTCTGCATTTGAGCAAGTGATTCTGCCGAGTATGCAGTCGCGTCCACTCGAGCGAGTTTGGTAGGCGAGTCGAGCGAGGGGAGTCAAATCGGAAGAGTGCGAGGTGCGGCCGAAGAGCTAGACGAGGCGCGAGTCGGCTCGACGGGGTGGGAGTGTGAGTCCCCAGTGTACCATTCACTCTATTCCTCTAGGCTCTTGCCTTGTCTCCTTGATTCCGAGCTAGCGAATCGCGTCAAGGCGAGTTGTGATGAAGCGGATCGAGGAGGAGACCAGCGGCGGATCCGCTCTCGCAGTCCTGAGCAACAAGCAAGCCGGCAGTATCATAGCAATGTAGTCGAATCACACACGCTGTCAGCCTGTCACGCTGTCAGCCTGTTGGCAGCGTGTGGGTGACGCAGCGCTGCGGCCTTCCGCCTCTCCAGTCGGACCTTTTCTTTCTTTCTCTCTCTCTCTCTCAACGCTTTCTTCTTCGAGCTCGCTAGCTTGGGCTCGCTCCGGGAAGCCTGTTGCTCCCTCTTGAGCCGCCGACTTGCTCTTGACGTTCCTCGTGCCAGACCCCGTCAACACGGCCCGCCAAACAAAGTCGAGACGCGTCCAGAACTCACGCCCCGTCCACACGCCAAAGCTCTAGGTACGCTCTTCTGTTTCTTTTCATGCTACTGCGCGTCTATGGGGTCTTGAAACAAGGGCGCGACTCTGGAGCGGGTGACCAACCCGGTTGGGAGGCTGAGAAGGCCGGACTCTCGGAGGAGCACTACGGCTATACGCCATCCTTGGGACACAGAGGGTTCATTCTCCGGAACGGGGATACCGTCATGTCCCATCTGGCCCGGATTTGGAACGATGGACGGTGTTTGCGGCGTCTCGCGCGTCGACAGCTTGAACCCTTGGGCGCGTTGGGGACTCGTCTACGGGTCCCCCTCGAGTGGGCGCGGCGCCGTATCGTGCGTGCCCAAGGCCAAAACTGTCGTCGTGTCGTGACTGCTCTGCAAGAAGCGGAATCTCCTGCGAGCAGCGGTTTTGACTTCCGAGTGCGTTGGAAAGCCCTTTTTTGGGTTCCCCCTCGAACGGGCGCGGCGCCGTTTCGTGCGCACTTGGAGTCGAAACCGCTGCAAGCAGAGGGATGCTCCTCTCTGAGGTTACTGTTTGCTGGGAAGAAACAGTCGCGAAGCGATTCTCGAGAAAGCGGCTGACCTTTGCATTGCAAGCTCGATCGCCTGCAGGATCGACTCTGTACGGCAACATGCGGTCTTCTCGCTTGTCGATCCCGTTCGAGGCTGGTTAGTCTCGCCTCTCATGGCCTTGCTCGCCTTCTCTTTTTTCGGACGCCGCGCTCATCTTGACTTTTGGTTGCTCCGTTACGCAGCTTCGCTCCTCAATGAAAGAGCGTGTTCTGTGCTGTGGAAGCACCCCATCTGCTTCATCAATCGCACGACGTGGACGCAGAGAGCTCGCGCTGAACGGCGAAGCCCAGGTCGTCGCCAGCTCGCAGCTTGACGACTTGACCACCTTCTCTGCGTGCACTGAATGTCAAAAGCTGCTACAGCATGCTCACGACACGAACTGCTACATCACGCTATCGATCCCGTATTCCGCTCGGTCCTCAGAATGCCGCCGCTCCGACGAGGACGGCTGCGCAGGGGCACGCGATGAAAACTGAGCAGACTTTGGAGGAGACGCTGAGGCGCAAACGCCTGCGTCAAGAGCGGCATAACCCCCATCTTAGATGTAGTCCCATGCTGAGACTACGCTTGTACCGTACCGTCAGCAGAATAGAAGAGACGACGAGTTTGAAAGAAATGTCGGTGAGCAAGACGTCACAACTCGCGCCCACCTCTCCTGCGGGCTATAGCGCTCTTTCGAAGGCTTACAACATGCGGCACCATGCTCTCGGAATACTACAGAGAAAGTCGTACACAAAGGATCCATGACTGGCGCTCTTCTCGCTCTCAGTCCTGCCTCGAAATTGCAATCGACTGCATCTCTGCGAGGAATGGACTTTGTGCAGCGGGAGTTCGCGTTCCGAAACCTCAGACAATTCTAGAGCAGCTGGTTACGTCGGGAAAAAAAAAAGCATAGGGTTGCCCTGATAATCGTGCTGGTGCGGACTGCTGGCGAGTGCGGCCGGGGGTCACGGTCAAAGTCCAGCCCCCGCCCTTGACGGATCCTGGTGCTGCGTGTTCATCGCTGCCGGACAGCTCTGGCATGCTGGCGAATGTCCCTGCCGTCTCCTCCGCGCCCGGACGCATGTGCTCGCGACGGGTTGATGCTGCTGTTTTGGTCGAAGTGCAGGGGCCGGTAGCTGTGCTCCCGCCCGCTGGCCAACCCGGGGGCGAGCGAAGTTGAGAGGACGAGTCCACAGCTATTAGCGTGCACGACGACACAGCGAGCGCCCTATGTGAGACGGGTGAGCACCGGGTGGGGATGAGGGGAAAGGCGCGCAGCCGCGGCTGTTTGCGGGCGGAGAGGGGCCAGGACATGGTGTCCCATCAGTTCCCCGAAGTCATCTCTCCTTGTCTCGTAGATGTTGCAACTCACCAGCTTGCTCAAGGCGCGAGAGAGAGACAGACCCAGGTGTTGCTCATCGCCCGAACGCTCTCAAGGACTGGTCTCGCTCTCACTCGCTGTCGACAGCTATACTGTGATCGGCTGTACTTCAGCTGTGTTCTGACGTGCACGAGCGCACTCCCATCCTTGCTGCAGCCCGACCGAGCTCCCCGACGCCGTCTCGCCACGGCTTCCATCCCGCACAAGTCCCACTTGACGTCTCCAGTGCCATAAGATGCTTCGATGCTCGGACGCCTGAATCGACCACACAAGCCGTTAACCAGGACCTCAAATAATCAAAGTCTAACTGTCTCTTCTGGCCGTGGCTGATCAGGAGACGCCCACCCTCGCGCAGAGCGATCCGGCAAGGTCTACTCGATCTCGTCCTGCCACGGCTCCCGCAGTTCGAGACGACGCGCATAGCTGCGAGAGGTAGCGGCGACTACGAGCAAGTCAACGTCCAAGAGGCCGCTGCGGCCATCTCCGAGCAGATGTATGCCGATTTCCCGCCGCCCAATTGGCGATGGCTGCCGAATATCTCCCCATACGCTTGTCTTTTCGTCTTCTGTCCCACAGACCGAGGCGAGACAAATCTCTGGAGTTTGCTATGCAGACCTGCACCACCACCAGCAGCGACACTGCAACCGGAACG